ATGTTCGATCACTCTTTGTTATAAGAGTACTGCTATAAGTACATAATACTATACATAAGGGTGTACATAACACTTACCCACCGTGACACGAGTCAGATGTGTTCACTATACACATGTTAAGATCTAGCGATCTTTCAACCGTATACACGACTTGTATGGTATGATAATCTCTGTGTTGTGACATCCATAAAATTGAGTAGTCTTGGATCGTTCAAGGCTCTACGATATTAAAATATGTTATATGAAGATTTACTAAATATCCCTAAAAATTGATATTTATGTAAATTTGCATGTATCGGGTCCTTGATTGTGTATAGTTTTACTCTTTAACTAGTACAATACACAATACACTTGTATTACACGAGTACATGTTAAGAAATTTATATTTAAATAATAACAACAAAATTTGTTTTAATTTTTAACTACTTTTTTAAAAAATATATTATGATTTATATTTAAAAAGACACATGTCATTTGCACGACTTGCCATCTTATATTATAATAATGTTTTTAATTTATATCAGATAACTACTTTGCAGTGAAATTAGTTTAAATAATTTTATTTTTTGAATTGAAATTAATAGATAATTTAGTTTTAATAATAAAGATAAATAAATTATTTGTTTAGTTTGTATGTATACTATAGATGTCAAATCGAAGTTCATCAAAACATGATTTGATATATTATATGTAAAAAAATGATAATAAATAAAAAACTTATCTACTTTTAAATATTTCTAAAATTTAAGTTCGTAAATTTGTTATAATTTTAAAAGAAAGATGAGGAAAAATAAGAAAGATTGAAAAAAAATATGTATATATCTTATAATCATGTGTTCAATAGAAAATGATATTAAAACATTATTAATGTTTTTAAAAATGACCATAAGTATCCAATATATTTATGGATATTCCAAGTCTAGTTACTTTTGGATGTGAAGTAAATTAAAGTTCATACGAGTCAAACAACAAAGTTTAATAATTTGTCACATAAGATTTCGAAGCTTGTGGGTCTGCCACTTAACATCAACACATTCGAAAATAATATATAGGGGATCTACTTTTTTTATTGATAAATAATTTATTATTCATTATAAATAAAGGATCAAGTTGATTTTCTACAACCACGCTCTATTCATTCTCTCACATATGATTTCTGATTGAGCGTCAAATATCTATATATGAATCCTTCAAGTTGACTTGGTTTGTGATTCCGTGCGAAGCAATTCGACCGAAAGCTCGGTGGGTTGATCATTCAACCACATCGTCCTGCCACATGGAGTGGACATATTAATTTGTGTCCACCGTGAGCAGGGGAATAGGACCGTTATAATTCTTCATAGAACATTGATTTGTAAATTTTGAAGAATTTACACAAAGTAAACAAAAAAAAAATGTAGAAAATGACTAATTTATCCTTTATTTAAGTAAGGTAATTTATTATATTCTTTTGGAGATAAAATGGGACATTCAATTACTCAATTTGAATATTTGCATTATATATTAAGTTAAAAATAAATAAATACACTACCCTTATGAACTTTTAAGCTACAAAAAAATGCATAGTTTCTTATGAATTAGGATTAAAAAAAA